GTTGGTACGAGTAGGTTAGTCTACAAACGTCGCCTAAAGTAATTGATTTTACCCGGCGGAACGAAAGAAGGAAACACCGCTTTTCAGTCATCTTAGGCCCTTGGTTTTTGACAATGACCTTTCAGAGGTCAAATTGCTGTCAAGAATATGAATTGGCTGCTTCGCAGCAATTATTGCTGTTTTGAGGTTTATTCCTGCGTTGACATGGATTGTAGACTTTATGTTTTGGAGGGTTGTTTCTTTCTGTTTGTGCACACGTTGGGTAGGTATACGCCATAGCGTACATACAGTGTTTGCCTTAAAGGTTGAATTTTAAACGTAAAAATAAACATTATACTATTGCTGTTGTATAATTTACGATGTATCTGTGATATTACTACAAAAAATGAAGTATACTTTAGCAGTATAGTTTCAAATATTCGTTTATTAATTTGCCATTTCGCGATCGCGTTGTTAGTTTAATTCTGTTAAAATGTATGAAATGTTAAAATAAACGCCTCTTTACTTCATGAAAACCATTTTTTCGCCTCTGGGCCTATTATTCTTGTCATGGATAACAACAAAAATATCCATGTAGGCCTGTTATAATTCATATTAGTCGACGATTCACAATCGATTCAGATGTTCAGGCAATAATGCATCAGTATTAATTTGTAACTATTGAATGGATGACATCTGTTTCATAAATTATAATGATGTTTATTTTTAAAATGCATACATCAATGTTGCAAATGAATATTATCTATACAAAACACACACACACACTCGCACACACACACTTAAATTTATATTTTTGAGAATATTTCCAGCTATGATAAAATTGCATTTTTATGATGTGCTGGTTGATCAAAATGTGTGTCATACTTAATAAACGTACAGAGTAAAGTATTCCTCAGCTTTATGTTACTTCAAAATATTGATGTATGCATCTTGTGGGCATTAAAACTGCTTATTAATTTTCGGACAAACATCTGCACAAATGTATGAATGTTTTCATAAAGGATCAACACTTCAAGAAATATTCCTCCATGATTAAAGCAAACATACTACTCCATGGTTAAAGGGTGTAACAAAACGTAAAAACAATGGCCTGAATTTTTCATCTTAGGATATGGGTATTAGGGAGTTGTTGCAGTACATTTAGTTTAAAATTGCCACTTAGTTTTTGTTTTTTTATAGAATTCATAGGCTGGCATAGGCCTATCAATAAGATTTGGTAGAATGTCCTTCGCAAATGTTCATGTACCGCAGGACGGTGTCGAAGATCGAATGCTTTGCTCTGTGATTCAAGTATCTTTGAGGAAAATCATACTCAATAGATAAATGTAAGCCGAGGCCCGTTTTAACAAACCTAGGTTTAGATGGATTACAAATTATTGGCTCTTTTTCGACTCATAACGTGAAATTCATCATCCAAACTTATCTATTCTTTCAAATTACGACACATCAAATGTATTTGAAAAGAGGCATCCATACGTGAGGTTTAACTAATATTACTTAAGGTAAACACCACCAAAAGGCAATAATACTCGTCCAGAACACAACTGGATTATGAATCAGGCGTAGTTCGAGCTCTACAAATTTGGATTGGATTCTCATTTACTACTTTCCCTGGTTTTGTTGCAGACACACAGATTGATAACAGGGGACAAGAATTCTTGCTTTCATTCGCAAATAATTACATAAATAAGCATGGACCCTCCGTCGTCATCACAAACGAGTCACCAAACCTTAATTCCAGTGTCGTCATCAACATAAAAGGCATGGATTCAATACACATTACTGTAGAACCAAAATCATTTCAGCGTGTAAATCTCTCTAAAGAAGTGATTGTTACTGAGGAAAGAGTCTCGTTCCCTGCTGTCTACATCACATCAGACATAAACATTACCGTTGTTGGTATAAACGATGCGCATGCGAATGGCGTCGGTGGTTTCTTGGCATTACCAGTCCATTCGTTAGGAACTGATTACGTGGCTGGCACGTATTCTCCTTGGCTTGGGTCTCAAATCGTGATTGCTGCGTTGGAAGACAGGACACGCGTTCTAGTACGCGTTGCTAAACCAATGTCTCTTACACAAAGTCTTGTAAAAGAAGGAATGATCATTGCGTTGTATTTAAATAAGTTCGAAGCGTTGATGATTGATGGTCTAGAAGATCTTACAGGAACTGTTCTCTACTCCAATAAAAATATAGCAGCGTTCTCAGGAAATCGAGCTGTAACACGCCCCTGGAGTAGATATGTGATAGACCATACGGTTGAGCAGTTATTACCATTTAAAACATGGAATAAAAAATTCATCCTTGTGCCGTACCCACAAGATGAATACTCTTGGAACGCATTTCGTGCTGTAGTCCGGAACCGAACGCGTTTGAGTATCTATACACTTAAGAGTTTAACGAATGTTACACTCCAGGTTGGCGATTACTACGAAATTACGCTTAGCGCAGACGACACTGCGTATGTCGTGTCTGACTACCCAGTTTCAATTTTTCACTATGCACAAACCAAAAAGAGAGGAAGTCGAGGCACCGATATGTCTATTAGTAACGTTCCGCCAATCGTGCAATACGTGAACGAAGCAACGTTCACAACGTATGATCAAATCGATGAATATGATGCTTCAAATTTCCTCACCATTACCAGTCGTTGTGATGTAATGAACGAAACAACGGTTGATAATTTACCACTTAACGTCTTCATCAAAGGAGACGTAACCAGGACTGTAAACTCTGAGTATTGTTTTGCACACTTAATTATTCAGAACTCTGGATTACATTTTGTGAAAGGTTCCGGATTTCTGTCAGTTCTTCATACTTTTACAGTGTTGTCTTCATACGCGTTTCCTATTGCACTAGGTCAGAAACCAATGAATTGCAAAACTCCATTACCAGATGGAAGGATTTACGAACACTCTTGCGACCAAGAGGTCATCCCCGTGCAATGCCAGTACGAAATTAATCTTGAAGAAGAAAAAGAAGATGAGGAATGCTATAAAGGATATACCAGCCGTAAGTTAATCTTTTTCTAATCATCTTTCCCCCGTTAAGTTTAAATTATAAATTTAAACAAGAATTATATGCCTATAAACATGCCATATTAGAATTTATTAGCATGATCACAATATTCATAATTATTAATAACATCATCACCATTACCATCATCATCATTATCATCATCAACATTATCATCATCAACATTATCATCATCATAGTCATCATTACCAATCACTATGACCAACACCAGCACTATCGTCGTCACCATCACTATCACTGCCATCACCATCATCCTAATCATTATCATCATCATCATCATCATCAAATATCAATGTATAGGCTTATTGATATTGTTGTAAAGTATTGATATGATATTGAAGAACGATATCGATATTGGTTTGACATTGATATCGATATCGATCTTTTAAAAGCTTTACTACTTGATATTGATATCGATATTGATACTAGTTTTGAAATTGATATTGATATCGATCTTCTAAAACCTTTACTGCTTTATATTGATATTAATTTTGGTTTTGATATTGATATATTGATATTTATTTTGGTTTTGATATTGAAATCGATATTGATCTTCCAAAACATTTACTATATATCTACTATATTTACTAGATATCGAGCTTCTAAAACCTTTACCACTTTATATTGATATTAATTTTGGTTTTGATATTGATATCGATATCAATCATTCTTACTTGATATTGATATCGATCTTCTAAAATCTTTACTATTTGATATCGACACTGATAATGATATTGGTTTTTATAGTGATATTGATTAATCATAATTAATTATTATTATTATTGCTCTTATTATTAAGCATATTATATTATTAATAATATTACTATAATGAACAATGATTAGGTTCCATGATGCGCATACGCAGGTATTCAATATATTTGAACAGAAAGGTAGCATATTAACATAAGCCTACATCACATATTGGAAGAGACAACATATTGTTAAACATAATAATTATGTTGTCTTGTTCAATATATGATGTATCACGTGAACGTGTTTATTCACCATCAATACAAACATCGTGTATATGTATTTAAAGTAGGCCTACGGCACACTTATGCATTCAAACTTTCGGTATACAATCCAACTTGCTAGTATACGCCACGTCGATTGATAGCTATCATATTTACTTTCTAAATTACAGTTTGCTTTCTCTTTCTCACTCACTCTTCCATTAATTATTAATATTACCACAGACTTAACATTAATAATGATACACAATATTTGACTACAGGACATGTGTAACGAGGCGTTATTAAGTAAATGATAACTTACTGAATTTTTAATAAATCATATTCCTTTTGTTTCATTTCTCAGTTCAAGTTTTCGTAATTGCTCTTTTCTCGGCTGGTGGTGCTGTTTGCATCGATTTAATAATCCGGTGCTGCAAAGAGGCGAATGAGTAAGTCACCCACTAGGCCTAGGCCTAGTTTTTCGTTTTTGCTGACCACCTGTATAAGGTGGCAAAACGTTATGACACGGCGAGAGTGACGCCAGCGGGTAGACCGCAGCTTGGCCCAGCCGTTGGAAAACCACGGTAAAATCCACCCCAAACATGGTGGAGCTGAAGTGGATGTGGAGTCTGCCCCATCTATTGGGGAACGATGGACCACTTTTCAGGGAGAAGCTGGCGCCATCCCTGTGATACGATAGACTATGCAATGTCAGACCTGAAATGTGTTAATATGTCATTTTAAGAAATAGTAAAATTAAATATTATTTCAAAGATTGCTGAAACAGCTCCTGGACAGTGAATTTGATTTTAATTTATTTTAATAAATTATTTATTTAATAAAATTTTTTAAGCCATCCCAATTAAAATTGGGATGGCTTATTATATCTTTCTTTTTTTTTTATTTCGTAGTCCTGTTTGTAATTGTATTTTAGATGTTTTATCGATGAAATAAATAACTTTATATAGGCCTATAGTCTCATTCGAGATCCAGCAAGCCGAATATAATGCACAGAAGAGGGCATATCTTATAGATCTGTGGCAGTATCGTGACGTCAGTGGTTATGACATTCGCTATGTATGCAAAAGGTCCCGTGTTCTAGTCCCGGAGGTGGCTGAGTTTTATATGCCCGCGTGTTATTAGATTGTTATTCTGCAGGTATTAACAGAAAGAACGATGGGAATACTAGACTTTCGTAGGGATATTAAATTCTATTATCATTAGTCATATTATAAATGTAATCAAATATTGGCATAATCTAATCGATCAGGTCATTAAGAAACTTTATCGAATAATGAAATCAACTGTGCACGTTTGTTATTAATTGTGCTTTGTAATTGTTTAAACATCCTTGGAAAGGCAAAAGGATGTTAAACGGTAGTCATGTATGTGCTGTCCAGTGATGATCAAAATAATGCCTTTAGCAAAACACTGCAAAGTTTAACTGAATAATAACTATAGCGGTACCAGCGGGGGTCCAGGAGAAACAGGCCCCAGTCTTGAGCCCTGTCGTGGCCAATCATTTCGTCAGAAAACATGCTTAAAACAAAATTTTACAGCCCGCCTTTCGGGGCATCAGAGGTGTCTTATTTTAAAAAATTGCGCCAACCAGCGATAATAAAGTGTGTCCCAATTATACGATACACGAAGACTATGCCCAAAATGTTTGATAAGGTACCCAATATTTAATCCTCAAACTGGTCACCCGTACTAGAGTCGAACTTAACTTTCTTCTTTAAAATCTCCTACTCTCACCTGCTTTCAATGTACAGTTAAGTCCGGAAATTTTATCTTAATCCTCAAACGCTATTAAAGCCTCCAACTCCACCATACTGAAGACTCAAACTCCCACGCTTATTAGAGAGACTCGCGAAAAGGTCGTGAGGGACCTGGGTGCAGATATTTGCAAGAGGGGATGAAGAAAGAAGGGAACTCCTGTATAAATGACAAGTTTAAATGACTTGGGGAACCGTCTTCATTCTTGTCACCCTCTTTTGAGAGACTTAAAAGCCAACAGTAATATCAGCCTAAAAAGTATTCTCATAAATAACCACCCCCGCCCCCCACCCGCAAAGCAAACCAACTCCAAAAGAAGAAAAAAAGCTGCTGACTATTTACCCACACATCTGTACACTTTTTTGCTAGCTAAAAAGCACTTTAACATGTGGGTGGGTGGGGATGCGGACGTTGAAAAACTTTCACCCCCTATGGATCCGCCCCGGAGTTTAATTTGAATAATCATTTTGTGAAGCCAGTCTGCCAAATACTGCAAGTATTGAATAACAGAATACTGCAAATATTGAATACAGTAACAGAATATTCTAAAGCATAATATTGAATACTGCTAACGTCTTTAACTGTAATTTTAGATGGACCTTTGCAAATAAAAGTCGAATTACCTTTTAAATAAAGATGAACATGATCCAATACATGCTAAAATGTTGTAATGTATGTAGACATTTCTTATTCGTCACGTATTGACTTATTTTAGTGACTAACATGGTCACTTTATACTGTCTTATTCCATGCATTATATTCAGTGAAACATATACTCTATACTTACTGAATACTCTGCTGCTCCTTTCACGCTAGTGTATTAACGTAATTTAAATAATGAATTCTCATATATGTTGCTTTTGTAGCGTGACAAGTCCTCGTCCAATATTTTGTAGACCCGTAAAATTGTTTTTTACGATATTTTAATGGACATAAAAGTACTTAAACTATGCCAATACAGTAATGGTAAGACATTTAAAAGAATGGCTCTACGATATTCCTTTCAGAGCTGTCCACGCGTCTGGACAGTAAAATGGCACGCACAAACATTTTGTCCTTGCTTAAATTAGTATATGATAGTATATGATGATTGTATCGTAAGTGTTGTATGTGCAAGAATAAACGCCGCTGTCGAAGATCTTTAGAATACCGTATATTATAAGCTGCACCGAAGCCGCCAAAAAACATAAGCCACGTCGTGTTTATTTTGTCGTTTATTGCTTTATTGATTTTAATTGTTATTGTTTTAGGCCACTTAGCTATGCCGATACCAGTGGGAAAAAGAAGTGGACAACCAGCATATCTGAACTACGGCAACGCAGAAAGGCCATACGACTGAGGAGTCTGCAGGATGAATTCGAACAAGTTAAAGATCAACCACCCGGTGCCATGAAGGCTAGTTTCCGATGTGACACTGAAGAAGAGCACATTCCTACAGTGATCGAAAAAGTAGTTCCGATGTCATCGATTCCCGGAGAATTTGCGCAGTCTTTACCGCCGACTCTAGATGAATATTTTTATTCAAATAGTCAATTTGATAACGAATCTGCTGTGATTAATGTTAAACGAAGTGAAAGCGATACTATTTCTGATATTTCATTAGCATATAATGAATCTAAGGTGTAAACAGTTACATACACAAGTACACTAGCAAGCTTATAACCTTTTTTGCAACTTGCCATGTGTCTGTTTGATGTAGGGCTGGTATTCGTCGTCATAAGAAATTCTAATAGATAGGCGTACGTCGTGTTCCGTTTGTGGAATTTGGTTACATGACTCTAGGCCTACACAATTTAAGCATGTTGGAAAATGGAGGGCTTTTGCATCGAAACCTATTTTTGTATTTAAAAACAATGTAAGTGTGCTGCTAAACACACTGAGCTCCAGTTGTTAATACATACTGAACTGAGTCATAAATATAATTTATAATTTTACATGACAAATTAATCAATAGTTTATGTTGATCTACCTTTACCATACGTTTAGTTACCGTTTTAACATATTTTTACATGAATCAAAAAACAAACATATGTTACTGTCCCAATTTTGGCTCAATAACATTTGAATAAATGAAAATAAGTTAAATACTGTATATTAGCAACATTTAATTGACTGTATAATACATTGTAGCATTGGTGTAACGGCAATGAGCACCCACTAGCTAAAACCAGGTTCCGGGGATATTCAATCTAGGCATATCAGTTTTTTAACAGAACTACATGCACTCATTCAAACCACAGGCCGCAAACGGCCGCGCATGGACCCTTTTGTTTTGTGAAATGGATTGGTAATTTGTTAAGTTCGCTACTGGCATATTCTTGGCCTTTTCCCTAAAAAATAAAATAAAAAATAAAATAAATGAAATTCATATATTCCAGAGCCAACTGGAAGAGAAATACATATTACGTAGAGAGTATAGCGAGAAACACACCCATTGCCAGGACCCGTGGATGTTAAAAATGCACAGATGTGTCTGATTGATAGGCCTTGAATCAAAAGAATTAATGAAGCAAGAACAAGTGAATATTGCACAATAAAAGTAGGTACAACAACAATATATAATAAGAGTATATACATAGAAATTGTGTATATGGATTAAGTAGAACTATACAATTAAAACGAATCAACAAAGTAAAGCTCTTGAATTGAATTTAAGTAAGCTAAACAATATAGTTCGGCAAGGAAGTACCTTGCAAGGAATACATAGTAATAATAATAATGGTTGGGCCTAACACACACAACATAGACCTCCAAAAATAGGCACGGCCTTTTGGAATCATCAAATTTTTTAGGAAGCTATATAAGTACTAGTCCTTCATCCTTACCATAAATATTAGTTTAAGAGTTGATGATGCAAATATTCTTTACATTATGCATCACATCACAGTTTACTATTTCGAAGGCCGACCTAACTCTTAGGCATGCTAGTTCTGGCCTATATTGTGTGTGTTTAAATGTGAGTTATGTGTGTCATGTGTGTCAGTTGACTTATTTAGCAATTTATAAACGTTACATTATACCTACTGTTGTTCAATCAAGTTTTACAGTAAGTTACTGTTTTGATACTTACACTTTTTCTTAAAAATTAAGAACAAAATAAGAACAAATTGAGGCTGAGTAAAATGTCAAATGAGGTTTTTATTTATTTTTAAAAAAATAGGAAACCAAAAAATTTCTCTAGTCCTACCTTATGTGCAATAGGTTTGATTATGTATTACCCTCTATAATACAATACAGTGTACCTGTCATTTGAGGCCATTTTTACCGGGCCTTCTTTCTGGTGCCTTTTTTTTTTCCGGGGCCTTTTATGGGGCCATTTTTATCTACACTCCAGTACAGTATACTGCTGTACAAAAATAATTTTTTATGTTTGAAAAGTATGTAAGGTAAGAACAAAATAAGAACATTTTGAGCCTGAAATCGGCCAAAAAATAAGAACAGTGAGCCTGGGCAAAATTTTACTGGTTCTTATTTTTTTTTTTTAAAGTGTAGTCAATATTTTACGTTTTGTATTAACGATTAAACCGTTTATGAATATATAATGTATGCAATTTTGGTATTTAACCCAATGTATTTTTGGATTACGTTGTTTTTCTTTTTACAGCGTTTCGTATTTTTCTCGCGGTCATGGTCATAAACCTCTTTCATGGTCATAAACCTTAATTGTCAAGGTGCTGGTAGTAGAAATTAGGCCCACACCTTAATTAATATTGTATAGATTGTTGTTCCTGATGATGACATAATTAATGTCGAAATATTGAATTCCGACACGATGGCGTGCATTTATACTTGGAGTATGATTATACTATCTAATAGATTGCTGTGTTGTCTCTCTGTAACATCATCGTATTAACAATGGTTCTAACCGCATTCAGACCATGACCTCAGACGCTCCCATTTTTCCTGTAATCTTAGTTTCTCCGACTAATTAGTCCCTGGATATTTTTTTTTCTCTTGTAGAAGTCTTCCTTTCTCGGTGGGGCTACATCGACACCCATCATAGTCCAATTAATGTTCCCCATATTCGCGTCCACTTCAAAGTCGTTATATTCTTTAATTGTTTATTATTAGGCATATCTATTAATATATACTCATTGCCTCTGACTTTTGTTCTATATCTATATACTACCATTCAACTAGTATAATATTCAGTATATTTCTACTTCCATATCAGCCATTGTGACTGCCTAGCCATTTTCTTAGTGACATTGGAAATATACAATTAATATAATTATCGATACACTACGGTAATTTAATTTTAGTGATTGATTTTCGATTTCTATTCATCATATAATGCTACGTCGCGTTTAAGTTTGAAGTGCTGAAGAATCAGATTTTATTAAAATAGTTATATTTGTATATTTATTGGTAATTAATTAATTATTTATGATCATTATAAATAATAATTTAGAAATAATATTAATAATGATGACGATTTTAATGATGATCAGATGATAATAATATTAAATAATAATAATAATAATGATGAGATGATAATGAGGAGGATAATGGTGATTGCGATGATTATAATATAAATAGCCCAATCAATGAATGCATATAATCATTATTTCACGATAACCATACAGTGATAAATAACATATATTTACAATAAAATAATTATATATGGAATATGATAAATTTTACTTCTTACTTGATAATATTTATTGACATAGACATAAAAAATATACGAACATCACACTCTGTTTCTTAAGTAACCGCCCATTGATTATAATGAGGTTGAGAAACATTACAATGACGTTACGTCGCGGTCACGTTATCAATAATGTTTGAGCCTCACCCGTCTACGTTTTACCTGAGACAACTATGTACAGTTGTCTCAGGTTTTACAAAGTGTTATCGATCATATTATGAAATGGATTGGAATGGATATAGTTCTGTGTGAAAACCAAGAATAACCAATGAAGTATGATGACTTAATTCGAGTAGGGTCAGTCTGGTGGTGATTGGGCAGTACACCGGGAGACACTACTCTAGTACCGGTCTCATGTACAACAACACTCAGGTCCTAGTTCGTCTGTATTTTAGTTTTTTTTTTTTATTAAGAATCACATTTGTTACAGCGGTACAAAAAGTCAAAACAATGGAAAGAAACATGAATATTAACTTAACTACATCAAATTAAACTACTGTTTGTTTACAATATTTAAAAAAATCGTTAACTACAATAAATTAAAGAATTTTGCCAATTTTAAATAAACTGATTTAGCATAATCATGTACATAATTATCCAATTATTTTACGAATCTCGTGTGCGTTTGTGACGACGCGCTCTCAAACAAATTTGTGATGACGTAGTAGGTACATCGCTCCATCCAATTTCAGCGGCAGGTCATTGTAATGCATAGGATTGGTGTTCAGACAAGTTCTTTGCATTATTCCTTGTATTCGTATACAATATGAACAGCAGTTAAAGTCATTGGAACATTCTATTGGCCTTATAAAACAAATTTATGAAGTAAGTCCCATAAAAATAAATACCGGTAATAATTTTTCTGTTCTTTCAATAACTATATTATTGTGTCTGTTGTTTTCCATAAATCGCTACACTCTATCGCCGACAGCTTTTGGTGACACGGATTGTCGGCCGAATCGGTAGCCTTCCCGATTGCGTCGTCGGGAACAGGTACGTAGTGCAAATGCAGCGAAAACACTATAGCGACAGTGGCTCTTTTATGGAAACCAGAGTTAAGCAAACATTTTATTTTTTTTAATGCAATTAAATTTTCATAGGCCTATTATCGGGCTTATACATTTGAAGTTATTTGAAGTCGAGCGAAATATATACTGAATGTTACCGACACCGGGATTGGGCGGCAAGATTTTTAACCACTAAGCAATAACTGCACTACAGAAAGACTAATAGTTGAATTAATAAAGAGATCATTAGACCTATACCTAATTTAAATATATATATATATATATATATATATATATATATATATATTTCAAAACGGGAAGTTCATTAAAATATATAACTACTAGCCTACTTGGATCGTTTTGAACGTTTATCAAACCATTTGATATATTTTGAAAACTATAATGTTCAGGCTAATTATAAAAAACAATCAAATGGAAATTACTGAAAATCAATTATTACATTTCTGTTCTTGTTTAATAGGCCTATTGTTGTTTCGCCGGAACAGACGGTTTAGAACAGAAACGAATTGCCTATGACGGAATACGTAGATGAAAGGATTAATCGCCGAACTCATAGATAAAACCATTTCAGCCATTAGATCGTACCAGTATATATCAGAACGTTGAATCCCAAGTGAAAAGATAACGATTCGTAGAGAATGAGGTAAATAGGCAACACCAAATAAGCAGACAATCATGGCGCTCGTTTTAGCTCCTTTAAATTTCTTAAAGTTTTTTCGTGGGGCGACTGCAGTGTTTTGAGTTTTTATGCATTTTCTAAACTTCCTTGCCTCCCTGAAAATGCGGAAGTACATAATAATCAATAAAATAACCGCCGTTGGAACCATTACTAAATCTGTATAACGTTGAACAGTAATTCCTCTGCGATTCATCTGATAGCAAAAGAATATTGGGTCAATTCTTTCGCTTTTCCAGAACAATTGGACACTGCCATACCAGCATCCTGTAATCCAGGAGATACCGATAGCACAATAAACTCGAGTACGAGTAACAATTTGGCCATACCTTAGAGGTTTCAGTATAGAAACGTACCGGTCCGTAGTAATAAACAGAAGGTGCAGAAACGATGTAACCATGAATATTTTCATAGGAATGTATTGTAACTCGCAGTCATCGATGTTCTGTAGGTAGAGGGATCCTCGCAGGATACAGGCCCACATGAACATAGGCACGCCGATGATTCCAGTGAGTAGGTCCACCAATGCTAAGCTAGCAAGCAATGTAAACTGGGGCTCCTGTAAGCTTGGAGTTCGGCGAATGACATAAAGGACAAATGCATTTCCACAAATTATTACGAAATCCAATGGTATATAAACAGTTAAAATAAATATTAGATTATTCCTGAATTCGTTGGTCGTAACGTTTTGGGCGCTAGCAACGCTATCCATTTAGTCCAACGAAACTAAAATAAACCACATTATAAAGTACAATATAACAACTGAAACTGAACTGTCTTCCTTAAGCCAATTGACATATAAAGAAATTATTCAAGGTCATTATAATCTTTTTTTGATTGAAGTTTCAAGCGAGGCTTGTAGCCTGAGTTACGGTTGGGAATTTGGCGACATTATCGTCGTCGTCAGATGTTCAAAGCACACAGTTTTAACAATAGTTATGATATCTCTTTAGTATAGAAAGTAATATGAAACCCATAAAGTATCAGTTCAGGCATTTATTTATCTGTCTGCGCAAAATAATAAAAATGAATCATACAAAATAAAAAGAATACAAATAAAATAAAAACATTTAAAAACTGTCTCTTATACACATCTAGCTGTGTTTAAGAGACAGATATATATATATGCAGGGTTTTTCTTGCTGTTGTTTCTTCAGTTGAAATTCGGTGTCTATGTGGGCTTAGCTTTTATAGAAATCAAGTAGGTTAATTACTACACACAGTGAGCTTTTGCAGAAAATCAGACTAAAGGCCTGTTTATACTTCAACGATAACAATAAAAAGGCTAAAAAGCAATTGTTCATATAGAAGAATAAAGAAATAAAAGAAGTTTTTACAATAGAACGATTCAATAACGATTTATAAGTTTTGTGATAACAACATATTTTGATAAATCAAATAAGATGACGTCATAATCATGGACAACATTAAAATCGTAAAAGTAGCAACGATTTTATCGTTTTTCCATGATTATGACGTCATCTGATTTGATTTGTCAAAATATGTTGTTATCCGATAACTGATAAATCGTTATCGAATCGTTCTATTGTAAAAACTTCTTATTTCTTTATATTTTCTTTTTTTCTTATTTCTTTTTTTTTTTTTTTTTTTTGGGGGGGGGGGGGTTAAGATATTTTGTTATCTTATACACGATAAATCGTTATCGAATCGTCCTAGTGTAAAAACTTCTCTGATTTCTCTTGTTTTCTATATGAACAATCGTTTTTTAGCTTTGTTATCGTTATCGTTGAAGTATAAACAAGCCTTTAAGGTTCCCTTATACACTTGCCTAGGTCTTATATTCATTTTTTTCTCTAAACTACCTAGTCAACTGACAAGAAAAAGGCATGGCGTTATCTATAGTTATTGCTGATAGTTCTAGTATGCATTATTTTCTATAAATAAATATACTGTAAATATACATTTTAAGCACTTCTCTTAAATACATGTCAAGAGCGGATCCAGAGTTTACCCTGACTATTGCACAGATGGGTTCCCATGGTGGGAGGGGTCATGAGAGAGAGCGAGCTTGTTCTGTCGCTGGGAGACAAATTTTAGGTATGGGGTGGGGGAGTCTTCGGCTCCTCCTTCGAAAAGTTTTGGTTTTCTAGATGCTTCGAAATGCACTTTCGTCGTGCATTATGAGACGTCTATTATTGAATAGGCCTACACTCTGAATTCATAGTTTGTCCCTAGTTAAATGGACAATTGATGATGATGATGATGCTGATGATGAGGATGATGATGGTGATGATGACGAGGAGGAGGAGGAGGAAGCTAGGTGATAACAGGCTCCTGTGCAAGATTAATTAACATTCCCTTTGATGTGAAGTTTCAAGCGAGGCTTGTAACCTGAGTTACGGTTGGGAATTTGGCGACATTATCGTCGTCGTCAGATGTTCAAAGCACACAGTTTTAACAATAGTTATGATATCTCTTTAGTATAGAAAGTAGTATGAAACCCATAAAGTATCAGTTCAGGCATTTATTTATCTGTCTGTGCAAAATAATAAAAAATGAATCATACAAAATAAAAAGAATACAAATAAAATAAAAACATTTAAAAACATGCACACTAAATCAAAATGGAATATTCACTGCCTGTTGGATTGCAGTTTTAGTGCTGCAGAGGTTCCGAAGGCTTTACAGTATAACCAATCCCCGTATTTTTGATAGATTACTGATTAAAATGTAAATTATTTAAGATTTTATATTCAGTACGGTACATTCTCAAAAGTCATGTAAATCTTATATATCGCAAAAATTACGTTATATTCATGCACCGAAGTACAAAATAAAAAGAATACAAATAAAATATAAACATGTAAAAAACATATACACTATTAGTGTAGATGTTTTTTACATGATTTAATTTAAAAATGGAAAATTCACTGCCTGTTGGATCGCAGTTTTAGTGTTGCAGGGGTTCTGAAGGCTTTACAGTATAACCAATCCCCGTATTTCTGACAGATTACTGATTAAAATGTAAATTATTTAAAATGTTATATTCAGTACATTCTCAAATGTCATGTAAATCTCATCCAAACATTATGTTATATTCATGCACCGAAGTAGTACGTTTAACCTAATCATTTTGATATGTTTAATGTTGTTTGGTTGAATGTTCTTTAATGATATTACAGTCTAATATGACCTCAACATAAAGAAGTCCCCTTTCAACTTTCAAACTGCTGAACTTCTAAACTTTGCTTAGCTCAGTACGGTATGCTTTTATATCTCCGTAAGTCCACTCGTAAAATTATTATAGATAGTAAAGAGAATTTTGATTGACTGTCAATCTCAGGTATCCAAATTCCGACATAAGAACTGGCGAGGTGGACGGACAGAAAAGCAGAAATCACAAGCGATCTTAATGTATGAGAGTTCGTTTTATTGAACACTATTCAATTCTGTGAAGATTGAATAAACATAGATAGTAGATATTAAAATCACTACACATCAGTTGAATCTCTCATAAAATACAAATAGAATATATAAATTATTAAATTAATAAATGATAACATATTTACTAAATTACATAAAAAGTCTAAGTGTCATTATAAAATTAATAACAGCATTCAATCTTGAACACTTACCCAAAACATATCTGTATATAGAATTAACATAAAACTATAAAACAGCAGAATATACAGATTTTCTTTCAGTTAGAAAACATCAATGCAAACTACCTGCTAGCCATGTTGGATCTACAAAGCTTCAATGAACTAAGCAATGGAGCACGCCCTCAATAATAGTCATGAATAAATATAGTTTCGCATGAAACATCCTCCACTCCCGATGCGATATACTGATCGCATAGCAAACACAATAATACATACTCAAGTAAAGTTACTCATAACCCTCTGCAGGGTAGATTACAACAATTTTATTTACAGGTCTGCTAAAGTGTCCATTTACAGTCTTTACTCTCACATTTCTTACGCGTCCATCTGCTCCAGGATACACTTCTGAAATGCGTCCTAAGTTCCATTTACCACGAACTGCATTAGGATCTGCTAATATTACTACATCATCAACTTTAGCGTTTCGTCGGTCAACATTCCATTTGCAACGAGGTACTAACATCGGGAATACATCTCTTGTCCAGCGTTTCCAGAATGAATCCACAATCCGCTGTATGAATTCAAATTTTTCTCTAGGATTCTTGCTTTGACGGAAAGGTCCCTGCGGTATTCTTCCTGATGCTCGTCCCAGTAGGATGTCGTTGGGGCAAATGTAACTACCGTCATCTGGATCATTTGGTATTCGGCCAATTGGTCTTTGATTTACCAGATTTGCTATTTCTTGGAAGCAAGTATGCAGTTCAAAATTTGTGATCACCTATTGCCTTCTTCATAGCTAACTTGCAGCTCTTTACAAGGGCTTCTGCGCACCCATTCTGATGTGGAGCTAGTGGTGTAACAAATTTCCATTTTACTTGCTGTTCTGCACAGAAGCCAGTCAGTTCCTCCTTGCTCCAACCCTTCACCATCTCTCGCAGCTGTCTCTCAGCGCCAACAAACTGTGTCCCATTATCACTCTGGATAATCTTTGGTTTCCCTCTAATTGCAAAGAAACGTCTAAGTACAGACAGGAACTCCATGGTTGAGCAATCGGTAGCAACTTCTAAATGCACAGCTCGAGTGTTAAGGCAGGTAAATATAACGCCATAGTGTTTAGTAGTCCTATTTCGTCCCAGTTTTACAATGTACGGTCCAAAATAGTCGCAAGCTGTGTAATAGAATGGTGGTGTGAATGGAGCCATTCTTTCTTCTGGAAGGTTAGCCATTAGTTGGGTTTCAACATCATGGTCAAAGGCTTTGCATTTTACGCAACGATATTTTACCGTCTTGGCAAGGCTCGTTACTCCAACTATCCAGTATTTGGATCTGACTTTTGCAGCAGTTGTTGCGACGCCATAATGTCCTTGTTCATGAGCATGTCTGGTTATAAGATAGGATATGTGCGCATCTCTTGGTAATAACAGAGGATGGCATTGATCATAAGATACAGATTGGTTAGTAGCTCTTCCACCTACATAGATAAGATTTTCCTTGATAAAGGGGCTTAAAGATTTAAACTCACCCTTTCGCATTCTTGCATGGACAGGCTTTTGAGCATCAAATATCCAATACTCTTCAGCAACAAATAGTTCATCCGTTGAAAGCGGTCCGTTCTCCACTCTGCACTTTGCTGTAAGATTAGCGATAAATCTGAAAACATATGCTGTAGTTCTTACTAACTTTCTCCAACTGGAAAACCTCTTGCATTCTATGGCCTTGTCCTCTCCGTTCACAATAAGAACTGTTTTTCCTTTCTTCTTCTCTCGGTCGACTTCTAGAGTATCAGCTCGGGGAATTGATTGAGGCCATTGTTCCTCTGGTAGCTTCAAAAATTGGGGTCCATTCTTCCAGTATTTTTCCAGATCCTTGGTCGTGATCCCTCTGGAAACTTGATCGGCAATGTTAGCTTCACCTGGTATATGACGCCAGTCTGATAAATCAGTTTGACTTTGTATTTCAGCAACTCGATTTGCTACGAATGACTTGTAGAGTCTGGATTGTCCCCGTATCCAGGATAAAGCAATTATGCTGTCAGAAAAGAATATTGATCGACTAAATTCCAGAGTCATCTCATCTTTAATGGTATTATACAATCTTGATGCAACAACAGCTGCTTGTAACTCTAAGCGGGGCATAGAGAGTTGTTTTACAGGAGCTACTTGAGACTTAGCCGAGATAAACCTCACTCCAATTTCTCCATTAGCACTTTCCCATCGAGTGTAAGCAACTGCACCAAATGCATCTTTAGAGGCATCACAAAAAATTATTAACTCAGCTGGTTTTGTGATAGCAGCGGGCAACAGGCATCTGTGAAATGAAACACCATCTAAGCTTTGAAGCTCTGTAAAAAACTTTCCCCATTCGCTTTTTCGCTTTCTGACATGTCATCGTCCCAGCCATAACCTTGCTGCCACAGTCTCTGCATCATGATTTTCCCTCTAATTAAAAATGCAGTCGCAAATCCAATTGGATCGAAGACTTTTGCTAGTTCGCTAAGCACCATTCTCTTGGTTAGCCTGTTCCCTGGAAACTTTGGTGTTTTTACCTTGTATAAGAGCATATCGCTTACCGGATTCCATACTACACCCAAGACTTTCTGTTCCGAATCATCACTTAAAACAGCCTTCTGTTTGAGTGGTTGGTTATTCTCTGTGTTAGTTAGGTTAGCATTTGAAGTCCATTGTTTTACCTTGAATCCTCCCGTGTATAGGACAGTGTCGATTTCGTCAGCGAGTCTTTCAGCGGTTCTTTGATTCGAGACTGATGTCAGAATATCATCCATATAGCTGTCCTTTGTTATTATCCTTGCAGCTTCTGGGTGAATTTTTTCGTTTACCATAGCTGTCTTCCTCAAGGCAATTTGTGCCATCGCTGGCGCCGGTTTGTCCCCGAAAGTAACATTTGTCTTCACATAGATATCTGGTTTCTTGGATTGGTCAAAATTACGCCATAGAAATCTGTGGACATGCTGGTCCGACTCAGGTATGCCAATGCGATGATACATCTTTGAGATGTCTGTAGCTAAGGCAACTTCTTGTTGCCTGAATCTAAGCAAGACGCCAAACAAAGTAGGTCCGGCCCTTTTTCCCAAAATTCGTTAAGTGACTGGCCATGGAACTTAGCAGATGAATTAAATACAATTCTGACTGGAGTCGATTTTTTCTCTGGTCGGATCACCGCATGATGCGGTAAGTAGCATACTGGACCGCAGTACTCCTTAATTTCTTGCTCAGATAGCTTCCGAGAGAATCCCAGTTCCAGCATCTCTTCCATTTGTTGCTGATACCCCTTCATGTGTTCCGGGTTTTTCATCAGCCTATTTTCAGTTGAAGTTAGCAGCCTTTCAGCAAGTATTTTGTTGTCGATAAGGGTGACGGGGTTTTTCTTCCATGGGTATGGTATCTGCCATTTATCTTTCACCTTTTCACATGACTCCCATATTTGGTTAAACTGTGACCTTTCTGACGGTGATAATCTTAATCCATCGGATGACATACTCGAACACGAACAGTGCGACAACTTGACACCCATCTCCTCTGTTGACCAAAACTTTGTTAAGTCAGTATTTTCAGTAACGTTGACATGAAGAACAGTTGGGTGGCCTCTTTCAACTGCCGATGATCCAAATGTTACCCAGCCCAATGGAGACTTTCTGGCCAGATAACCATCTACTTGCCTGGTTTCACCACTATGCATGAACGGGTAATCCACTCCAATTAGAACATCTACTGGGCCATCTCCTCTGCTTAGTGTGCATCCCAATACTCGTTCCAGCTTCTTTAACACTCCCATGTTCAATTTTTGCACATTAGCAATCTCAGGAACACCAATAGCAGATACAGTATGTTCTTGTTGGTTGGCTAAGATAGTTAGCTTAAATACCTTGGTCTGATGTGCCTGAATATCGCCTCCCAAGGTTCCGATGTCAATACTGCCCTTTAGATTCAGCTCTTCGGCCACAGCCTGTCGAATCAACGTCACATTTGCTCCAGAATCAAGCATCACATTTCCAGCAATATTCTTGTCAGTTGATCCAAGACCCACTTTAATAATAGGAAGCGTGACATTGTTAGCTTCTGATGCTACATTAGCTACATTACCGTTGTTGGATGGATGAAGCAGAATATGATGATACTGTGGACAATTATCCCTACCACATTTCCTTCTTCGGTTGCAGCTTCTCATGTTGTGGTCCTTTCCTGCTTTCTTTAAACAACTGAAGCAGGCATGTACATCTTTTGCTTTCTTCGTTCTAGCAGTCACATTCATTCCTTGTATCACTGTACACTGGTCTGGCCAATGGTCAATACTGTCACATCCCCAACATCTTTTCCATGATGATGATCTTTGATTATTTGTTGCAGGGCTGAATCTCTGATTACCAATGTTTACCTTTGCATGTGACTGTGTTGAACTACTTCTGACAGATGCGGTAGCTCTTATCCTAGTTTTCATTTCTACTTCCAGGAAGCTTAACAACCCTACCAATGATGCTTCCTCTCCTTTCTGTTGAAGAATTCTAGAGTAAACCTTTCTATCCTCTACTGTTAATTTCATCTCAATGATAGCTAGCATATGATTGTTATTCATATCTGCCTCTTTCCCGACTTGCTTTAGAATGTTAAAGCATCTTCGTATAAGTTGAGCGAATTCACAAAACCGGCTATCTTCTCCTTCTTTCAGGCATCTAAACTTAGAGATATCCTGTGTCACAGCATCCGATATTAATCTGGCCTCACCATAGTACATATTTAGATATTGCCAGCATGCAGCGTAATCCGTTCCAATACCCTTTAGAAGTTCGAGTGGTCGGCCTGATAAACTTGTTCTTAAGATAGATACTGCATCTCGTTCTTCGTATATTGGATCGATCATATGCCTGAAGTCGTCACGAAACGTAAGGTAGTCACGAACATCTCCGCTAAACACTGGAAGCTTTGGCTTTTCAACCATAGGCTTTAACTTTATATGATGATTTACTGGTACAGTAAGTGGTTGACTTGATGCATGCTGTATATCGTTGGGATCACTTACTGGATTTGACAACATTGGGGAAGGCGGGTTAACAGGTGATGCAGACAGTGACTGATTAGACGGTCCTGGTACTTGTTCTTGTTGCGGAGTTGCAGGTGGGTTTTTCTTAAGTGCAGATTTAAATTTAGCCTTAATAGCCAAAAACTCATCCACACAAGACTGGATATATTCTTCTTCTTTGTCGTAGTCTTCTGCATTTCCAATTGTCTCGCAATACTCATCGTGTCTGTCTTGTAATCCATTGAAGGCTACTTCTAGCTTCTCAAACTCCACTCTAATTTCGTCAATGGATTCATCGTTGTCTATTAGAATTTCCAAGGTCCGTTTCTGTCGTGTGAATCTTGACTTACTTGTTCGTCTCTTCAGTTTCTTCTCCTCCATCACTCCTCAGATGTTTGCAATTAGTAAATTGAATTGTGGCGAGGTGGACGGACAGAAAAGCAGAAATCACAAGCGATCTTAATGTATGAGAGTTCGTTTTATTGAACACCATTCAATTCTGTGAAGATTGAATAAACATAGATAGTAGATATTAAAATCACTACACATCAGTTGAATCTCTCATAAAATACAAATAGAATATATAAATTATTAAATTTACTCAACAGTCAATGAATCCAACATTGTGTAAAATACAGTTAATCTGTGTGATTAATTAAAAGCATGGCTTGTATAACATGGTATAGTTCAGTAATTAATCAGTACGGTAATTATTCATGAATAATTTCTTACAGTAGTAATGTTAATCTTAATCATTGGAACCAATACACTATTATTAATCTAAACATACAAACATACACAAAGCATGTAAAAACTTACTACTTTGACCGGATGTGATTACACCATTTAACAAGTAAACCTCATGATATCATCAGTTGTCATAGCATACACGTAATCTGTATGTTGGATGGTAGATCCTACAATATCAATAATTAAGTCTAAATACATGTACAATAATAAGATACAAATTGTACCTACACTGGCATTAACCAATACATTAAAAACAACTTAAGACTCAGGAACAAAGGGCCTGTTCAAGAACAGTTCCTTATCTAAACAAGCTACACAGCATCAAGTGATCTCATGAATATTAATTAGCATTCTGAAACAATGGTTTGGTAAGGTGCCTTAGCAGAAGGCCCAAGCTAGCAAATTCTAAGTTAACAACGTTATCAGATTTCAACATATATTCATAAAACTCATTGTATTAACAGCTTGTATAGAAACTACTTATGTATCGTAATAATATCAATAGTGTAATAATGTCTGTCTCATAAACCACAGTAGTTATCACTTGGTATCAAGAAAACTGCTGTTATTATTACCAAACTCTATGTCTTAGCAAAGTAAATTACATAAAAAGTCTAAGTGTCATTATAAAATTAATAACAGCATTCAATCTTGAACACTTACCCAAAACATATCTGTATATAGAATTAACATAAAACTATAAAACAGCAGAATATACAGATTTTCTTTCAGTTAGAAAACATCAATGCAAGCTACCTGCTAGCCATGTTGGATCTACAAAGCTTCAATGAACTAAGCAATGGAGCACGCCCTCAATAATAGTCATGAATAAATATAGTTTCGCATGAAACAAGAACGTTAACCTAATAACGTTGATATGTATATGTTTTATGTTGTTTGTTGAATGGACTTCTTTAATAATAATATTACAGTCTAATATGACCACAACATAATGAAGCCCATTCTGTAAATGTTTAGCATAATATAGTACAAAGAATTTCGATTGTTTATCATTATCATTATACACATGCAATTTTTACACGCACCGACTTGGAAAGTTTGAACATAATTTTGATATGTACATGTTTCATGTTATGTGTTGATTGGTCTTAGATAATAATATTACAGTTTAAAATTCATATTATAACAACTTGTGATAATATAACTTATTCTTAAAGGAAGCAGAATAATGCAATTCCTTCAACAACTGTCTTTGGTTGAGGTAGGTGGCATTTCTAATAGAGAGAGTCGGAATTTGCCAGACCACCAGTCACTGCAATCTCTTTATATATTTTGTAAAATATAATTTTATCTCTCACCCTGATCTTCGCCATTGCGAACGGTGCGAAGCTCAGGATCCGCGCCTGCATTAAAGTGCACCATAGCAATAGGCCTATTATTTTTCGTTCATTGGTCTAATCTTAGATTTTTGTCAATGTCAATAGGCAAAATACTAAAATAACAACAATGCTATGAGTAACAAGCTTTCTCTTTAATAAGCCTGCTTGTTTTGAATTCAAAAGATTTTTATTGTTTTGCTTTATCATAGCCTGATGTTAGTTTAAAACATATTTTTAAAACTACCGGTATGTATTAGATTATTACTACAGAACATCATTAAAATTGGTGTACGGTATACAATGGAAAAATAGCAAATTTTTCCAGGGGCTTTAACCCCAACAAAGGACTCTTGGTGCGGCCCCCAAACTCAGTGCTCGCGGCTTCGCTCGCAACCTGACTTCAATTCTCGTGGACGGCCCTGACCTTTGACATAGTTTGAGACATATGTTTATGAAACTAAATTTTCGTCTGCACGTGCTGGCTTGTATATTATTTTTATTTTATTTTATTTTATTCTGGCAAAAACATTAACAATATAAAACATTACAAATACAAAAAAGAAAAAACAAACAAACAAAGAATAATCAGGTGAGCCAGGGAGCAGCAAAATCGGAACCACTGTCATCTTAGAGATGTCCTTCTCCCAGAAAAAAAATAAATGAATGAATAAAAAATAAAAAACAAATAAAAAATAAATAAATAAATAAAATAATAATAATAATGGAATAAGAGTAAGGATAAACAATAAAGAACAATTACAAATCATTAAAATATTTTTTTAACTTGCATTTGAACAAATCAAAATTAAAAGATATAATGAAATAATTTCTGATATCAGGATGAAGGTTATTCCACAATCTCACAAATCTAGTTATATATATAATATACATTCAAGTTTGATTGACTAAATGATTTCAAAATGTCTTGACTCTGCATTTTCCAATAATATAAATCAATAATGACCACCTGTGGGACCTGAAAATTTAGGATGATCTCAGGGTTGGCTTTCTCTGTTAAGAAACTGACGATTGTTAGCACTTTTCGAAGGGGGTTTCAAATGGGAAGGTGAATTGTATACCATACAATTGTATTTACTATTGTATATACTATATTCTGACAGGGGAAATATTCATTTTTCAATAAAAACATATATATTTCATGTTCCGTAACATGTTAACCTCTGTCATTTATCGTCGTACTTGACTTACATATATACTAGAACATACGTGCAGCTAATCATTGTTCTGATGTCAAATCTACTGCAAAAACACTTCCGTGTTGCAGAAGATCTCACGATAATACTGAAACTGATACATCATTATGTAATAATTTAATTCGACAAAACACTTACGACTCAAACAAGGAGCACCAGAACACCTTAAGCTATACTATAGAGATCCATCTTTAATTTGATTCATAATGGAAATGTAAAGACAATTTTGTTTTCAACTTACAACATAGTAAACGTAGATAACAACTTTAAAAGACATTAAAACATGATAACTTAACTTGCTGACAGCAAAAATAAATTTTAAAAAATCTTTCCTGTCGCTTGCGACATGTGCCTTCATTGACGACATCAAATAAGTTTTAAATATGTGATGATAATTTGCTGATAGTATTAGCGTGCTTCGGTTTGAAGTTGGACCACACACAGATTTTATTTAACAGGTTGTTTGAGAGAATTGTAGGCATAATTAGTTAGCATATCTTAAGCTTGTATATCAAATTAATGACGCTATGACTTTAATTGTTAGATACTGTACAATAATGCTTTGTAGTGATTTTTGTTACGAATATTACAGTGGGTGAACATTATTGAGACACATGACCATTACGGTATGAAATATGTGGCAATACACACGATAAACGAGATGTTTACAACCTCCTCCGCAACCTTTTAAACCCAGCCCAAATTAAATTTCAAACACTCAGGCCAAATTTATCATCTGAATTTCATGCTAAATTGATTGAATACTGTACATTTTTTTAGTTTGAGTAATTAAAGTTATCAAATCTACCAATAAGTTCAGACAGAAAAATGGTTTACATGCGTTTTACTACAAACATTGTTAAAACTGCAGATCTGAGGGGTCAGGGGTCATGACTCCCCCTCCTCGTGGGCAATATAAAATTCCTACACTTTTTTGGGGGGGTTGGGGTAATCATCGATTAATTAAAAAAAGAATACGTGTGTAACTACTCAATTTTTTATGTATATATACACACATATAGGCCTATTTACTGTAAAGAAAGTTTACCTGGCCGTTTTCAAAAGTGGAACCTTGAATTTTGAAAAACTTAAAAGTCATTAAAAGACACCTCAGAAGTCGGTAAAGCTCATTTCACTCCATCTAGAAATCAACATTTTTCCGGGGAGGACCTTCCGACCCCCCGTTATTTTTTGGAGGGTTTTTTAAAAACTTTTTGACCCCTCCCCCTCCATTTTTACCCAGATCCGCCCCTGCGTAACGCAACGAAGCGAGTGCAAAACTGATACCGATACCGGTAGTTTTTAATGACGTTCCGCTCAGATTGCCACAGTCGTCAATCGCTCACAGAAAGATAGGCCTACCATTCGTCGGCTAGTAATAATAATTGAAAACTACAATTTGGAATCAGTGGCAACGCCATGCGGTGCGTTCACAATAAAACTGTAAAACCACATACTAAAAAAGATAATTTAATTTAAAAAAATAAAATATACAGTGATATTTAAAATTATTTAGGGCCTAATCTTAACCCAAGTTACATTTCAGCCACAATAAAGAGACAATGACTGCTGTTGTGTGGATGAAAATGTTTCGATACTTTTGAAGAGATCTTCAACTAATGACTGTTTATGAATTTAATGAGAACTCTTTGTGGATGTTGTTGCTGCTGTTACCCCTACTGCTGTTATTTCGTTTACGGAATAGACGACGTAGAGCAGATGCGAATTTTCTATGACGGAACACGTAGATGAACGGATTGAACGCCGAACTCATACAAAACAGAACCTCCTGCATCAACTCGTACCAGTATACATCAGAACGTTGAAAACCAAGCGCAAAGAGAACAACTCTTAGAGAATGGGGTAAGTAGGCAGCACCGAATAAGCCGACCATCAATGCGCTAGTTTTAGCCGCTTTAAAATTCTTTTGAGTAGTTTGTTTTTTACCAACGGTATTCTGAGCACATACAAACTTTATCTGCTTTCTTGCTTCCATATGAATTCGGAAATACATTATTATAATTAAAATCACACACGTAAAACCCGTAATCAAAACCACGTATTGTTGAACTAGAATACCTCGTCTATTCATCCGGTAGCAAAAAAATGTTTCCTCAATTCGTTCGCTTTTCCAGAACAATTGGACGCTAGCAAGTACACAGGCTGTAATCCAGGAAATAGTTATAGCATAATAAACTCGGTTTTGAGTAACAACCTGTCCATATCGTAAAGGTTTTACGATAGAAACATACCGGTCCGTGGTAACAAGGAGAAGGTGGAGAAACGACGTACACATGAAGATTTTCATAGGAATGTACTGTATCTCGCAGTCATCGATGTTCTGTATATAGAGGGATCCCCGTAGAATGCATGCCCACATAAAGGTTGGCACACCGATGATTCCCGTAAGTAGGTCAACTGACGCTAAGCTAGCGAGTAAAGTAAACTGAGGCTCATGCAAGCTTGGAGTTCGGCGAATGACAATAAGAACAAACGCGTTTCCACAAATGATCACCAAGTCCAACGGTATATAAACAGTTAAAACAAATATTAAATTATCTCTCATTTCGTTAGTCGTGACGTTGCGGGAGCTAACAAGCCCTTCCATTTCATAAAGTTGGACGCAACAAAACACATTCTCATAATGACCGAAAATTCATAAGTCAACTGATGCTACGATAGCATATAATGTACTACACATGATCCGAGATAGGCTTATATCACCAATAGTTTTTTCTAAGTAATGGAGGTCACGTGACATCATGGTAGTAATAATAATGAATCCCTTCTAGGTAGTTATGAATAAAAAGCTTTGTAATAGGCCATTATATCGCAATTTCAATAATTCTATATTTAGATCAGGAAATCGTTTACTATTTCCTTGTAATAGTATACACTCTAAAAACACTTGGGTCAATCTTTACCCATATTGGTTCAATTTTGAGCCATAATTTGTGCATTCGTACTCATTTCATATTATCAAGACATACGTGGAACCTACAAACATTATATAT